TTTGTGGAAGTTTACTGAGAAAAAAATAAGCGAAATTAAAATAAATTCAATCTCAAAAAACACAAAAGCTTGTGTAAAAATACTAAATCAATTATTCGCCTCAGGCTCGGTGATTATCGGGGAATATTCACCTCGATTTCGTCTCGGCGAATATTCCCCGATAATCGCCTCGCCAGAAACATCGGCGAATAATTGTTAAATATCAACTCGAGTGGAAATTAAGAAAACGAGAAATTCTGTCCACGCCCGGAGGGCGAAGTGTTTTCCCACAATTTCGAGTTTTTCTAATTTCCACGAATGTTGATATACTGTAACTGTATATGAATACGGACAAATGTTTTATATTTGTTTTATAATAGAGCATGCACAACGAAATTTAAATATAAAAAAAGAAATGTTCCGTGATGATATTTAGTTATATCAACACGGCTCTTAACCAATCAGCGTTCAGAATTTACAAATGCTATATTATAAATATAAATAATTCACCCTTTTCATAATTACGTTGAATGTGTGAATTAATCGACGCTCCCATGCTAACTCATTGCAATTCTCAATTATTTTGTGTTGTCGCTATTATACTTTTTATCGATCAAGACGACGGCTGAAACTTTTCAGCTTTTCACTGTAAGATTATTATATATCTTTTAGGAATGTTATAATGCATGATTTTTCCGACCTCCCATTATTTTGATGTATATAGCGCATGAACCCTTTAATATGAAAGACTGACTTCAGCTCAAGAGCTGAGCATGCCAGATTTTCAGTGTATTCTCGTATCTTATGACTATTCTAATTTTCAATTTACAGTTAAAGAAAAACCAAGCAGCGAAAATTCTGATAAGGCGTGTTCGGGAATGGACAAGGAAGACGGGTTTAACGCCATTGGTTTCTCTCCAGCTGATCAGTTCACGAATCCCAAAAAACATTCTCACTAATTTAAATCTTAGATGAAAGGGGTATCGTCCCATGTAAATTGTTCAAACAATTAATTTATGGCATATAAACCTCTTCTTTATTTACTATTCTCTTCTCCTTTCGGCAATAAGTAGTTGGTCCCAGTGTACTTAAAACCATCCGATTATCTATTATAATATATAATCCAATCTCATTCTACAATCCCCCTTCAATTCTGGAATCCACTCCCCGCTCCTTGAATTCCGCATTCCAGATCTATTGTGGATTCAGAAATCCAGAAAATTGGCCTAGGATAAAAGTTCCGGATTCCTCTCATGCTTGGATTCTGGATTCCACTGTCTGGACTCTGGATTGCATAGCTATTAAAAGTCGGAATCTGGATTCCTGGATTATCTTACATGGGGGCAGGGATCTATTATGGGGGAGGGACAAACGAATAATGCCTTTATGGACACGGAAAAAGTTTCTGCACTTGCGCTTCGGGCAGGTATTCCCACTGAAAAGTTTCTCATTTTCTCGAATCAGGGAAATGTTTTCCATTTCTTTAAATAAGCATAGAAACGTTCTCACAATTACTCAGAAATCCAGTCAGACAATTTAATCATGTAAATGTTTTGACATTTTTCTAAATGCTAATTCGCAATTGAGAACAATTTCCTTTGCCTCTTACATTACACCAAGTGCCAGTTTACTAATTCTATAGAAGCAAAGGTTAGCAAATTTCTCAACGTGATTACCATCTACCGCAACATTACTCGCTATTTGCCAAGTCATTTTACCATTAATGGTGTGGTTAAAATGATAGAAAGTGAAGTTTATATTATGAACAAGACTGTTTATAATACATTCATGTAGTTTATAAGTGTCATGCTGCTGTTCGCCTAAGTGAAAAGATCCGAAACTGGACATGAAATTGCATCCGGATTTTGGAAATAACTTATCATTAATGAATAATTTAAAAAGTTCTAGCTCTTAGCTTCATTATTCCACTAATTACCATGGCTTCAACGACATATGCTTCTTTCCTCACAAATTCTTTTATTCGCTGAGTAGTTTCTTGAGCTAACTTCCAAAATTCAACACCACTGCCTGCTACATACTTCATGTAAAATTCCTGCATGTCATACACAAAATAGCCCAGGTAATCGTCGTGCGGTTTTGTATCACAGAATCGTCGACCATTGATAGCAAAGAGGGACCCTAACTTCAAATTTTTCGATTTGTCGTCTTGTATAGGTTCACAAAAGGCTAAATGTGCCGCAGCTGTGATAGCTCCAGTTACTGTGCAATTATTTGCTTTACACGCTTGGATAATGTTCTTCGTTTCGCTCTCAGTGAAGACCTTTACGTTCAGTCGACTCGGTATGGGTGAGTTAGGGACATGTGGATTTGGTGGGAACTGCTCGTGATAAGGATTATTCGGCTTTTTTTCTATGAAGTGACCTAACAGTCTTTCCATGCAAAATTTTAAAATCGGTCGGTGGCCACAATAAGCCAGCACAAAATTATATAATAAATGCCAAATTCGTCCCCGTATGACAATCTTGTGGAAAGGTGGCAGCAGATCTAGACTGGAGATTTCCTTATCTACACAGCCAGTACCGTTTGCAAGTTCATTCATATTATTAAGAAATTGCTTGCAAAACTTCACAGAAGAGACACCGTCAGTACATGCATGATTATAAGTAATAGCTTAAAAAGAAGCGAATTAGCTATTAAAACGTCCCGCCCGATGAGGGTCGTTTAGTATAATTCCCTTGGGCGCCGCTCGATTCGGGTCATTTAGTAATCGAGCGGCGGTCATTTAGTAACCGAATCGAGCGGCGCCCAAGGGAATTTTACTAAACGACCCTCATCGGGCGGGACGTTTCAATAGCTAATTCGCTTCTTTTTATGCTATTACTTATAATATCATGATTGCGGGTGTTCCCGTTGTTCTCGCAGGGCCATTAAAAAACAATTAAAAATAAATAATGGTATAAATTAAATGGTATAATTGTTTTCCCTGTCTTTGTTTAGTTTTGGCGATTTCAGATATCTTCATTTATATTCGTTTTTTCTAATCGTACCCGCTTTGACGTCGTTTCGGCGGGTAGGATTAGAACTAATTCTACCTGACATGACGTAAAAGCGGGTAGGATTAGAAAAAATGAATATAATGAGGTGTATTAGTTATTAATTGCCCTGCGAGAACAAGGGGAATACCCGCAATCATGATATTATTGAAGTTAAACATTAATGTATTAACATAATCTCGAGTGTGTGGCTTGAATTGCTCTTGTAATATCACAACTCGCCATAACAGACCATTTTCTCGTTGTTTTACTGTATATTCAAACCAGACATCTTCCTAGTCTGAAGCCTTCACATGGGAAATAGTGATGTCGAACATTGCAATCACTTTATTCATTTCCTTGATCTCGAAATATTTATCCCCGTCCGCCAATGTTCCTATGACTGCTCGAAGCATCGGCTGTCGTTTGGCCAACAGCACCAGAGCGTCGCGAACATGTTCGTGTACCAGACTCTGTTTTGATGTTATAGATATTCCCAAGCATATATTCCCGGAGCCAGATTCTTCCATTGAAAGAATATCTAGCGCTTCTTCAGAAAAACCAAGTTGTCGTCGGTTAGTAGTGTTTGGTGGTATTTCCCTCACCTCGCCAGTGAAGTATTTCACAATCTTGTATACAAGAAATATACATGCTGCAGTCAGAAGTATTTTGACCCAGCTCACACTTATCATGGAAACATCAGACAACAAAGCCATAACTGATATGTGTACCAGTAGAAGTAATAACCAATACAACAATGTGCTATTAAAATAGTTCAATCGCAATATTTCGTAATAATAACCGCATGCATATTAGTTTTATTATGCAAGTATGTAGTAAAATATCCAAATGGCCATTCCGCCACGGATCACTGATTAAGCATTGGGGAAAAGGAAGGTCCATTGTTTCCAAATGAAACACGGAAATGGATCCGCAGCAGAAAGCCACAAGGATGGGAAACAGAAGGGTGGGAGGGTGGGCGTTTTTACAACACACAAGAGTAAACAACACCCTGACGCAGCCCCCTCCTTCTCGCCCCCCCCCGCCCCCTTCTCCGGTCCTAATTTCTTTATCTTGCACTTTCTCTGTCTTGGCGATCAGCACAGAAAGAGCAGTTACAACCTGTAAACTAGGGTTTTATGCATTGTACATCATTATTTATTCATAAAACAACGTTAATTACTCAAATTCCATTAGTTAATCAGCTTCCGCGGCGTGTTTGGCCAATTTGAATAGTAAAATATCCAAATGGCCATTCCGCCACGGATCACTGATTAAGCATTGGGGAAAAGGAAGGTCCATTGTTTCCAAATGAAGCACGGAAATGAATTCCTCCGCAGTTCAATTACTACTCGCTCCCAACACTGCATCTCCCCCATATACCCAAACCCCCATTCTCATGTACCCAAACCCCCATTCTCATATACCAAACCCCCATTCTCATATACCCAAACTCCCATTCTCATATACCCAAGCCGCCATTCTCATATACCAAACCCCCCTGCTCAAATACCCTACAACCCCGCCGATTCGCATGTGCCACACACACAAACCAAACTATAATCTATTAAGCAAACAAACCGGCAATGGACAGTATGAAAAAAAATGAAAGTGAAAAGCGATAGGTGGACTAGCATGGTCAAGCGACAATGAACGCAGAGAATAACCCGGAACTGATGCCACAGGTCTGGTCCCCGGGAGAAACTTCCACCCAATGACTCGCTTCTTAAGACGCTCAGAAGCTGCTAACGGAACAAAGTGTAGCGAGTGGCGAGAGAAAAGATGAACAGAGATGTAAATCCCCAAAGCACCCCCCGGAAGGACCATAAAAGGGCAACAGTCCCGGCACAACTGCTAGAGTCGAACACAAAGAGCTTTAGATAGCCCTGGGAAAGTTGACCCCCACCAGCCAAGAAAGAAAAAAAAGAACCCAAGAATTCAAGAAATGCAAACGAAAACCAGCGAACGAGCGCAAACACAAGATCAGTAATTTCATACACACTCGAAAAACATATATTGCCGAAGAATTGGGTGATTCGCGTATGGCAAGGAAGGTATACTGTTCTGAATCGCCAAAACATTGGCCCTTGTCTGTCCAATCCAAATGCACTAAGCGCGTGCGCTCGGTCTCAAGCAATCATGTATTGCGAGATACACCTCTTGCATTTGCAATGTTCGTGCTCAATCCCAAGCAATCATGGATTGGGTCTATTGGGAGATGCATGTCTCTGCTTGCCCAAACATATGAGCAACTGACCACCAAACAAATTCCGTAACTGCGAGACGCCGCTCCCGCGCATGCACTAAACTCATTGACAAATGATTTCCAAATTCCAATTCAATGGCTGCCATGGTTCGTCCCAAGCAATCATGTATTGTAAAAGGCAAGCCTCTTATTCGCGAAACCCTGAACCTGTTTTTTTTTCCAATCCGAAGTCAGTAGCGACTCTTACTCGGTCACAAGCAATCATACAATTGCGAGATGCCCTTTGCCCATACGCCAAACTCATTGGCCACTTTGCCTTAAAGCCAAATTCAGTAGCTACTCGTGCTCGGTAACAAGCAATCATACAATTGCGAGATGCACTTTTCGTATACGCCAAACACATTGTCATTGGCCACATTGCCTTAAATCCAAATGCACTGAGCTAATCATGCTGGGTTTGAAGCACACCTGCATTGGAAGATGCACATTGCTGATACGCCAAACACATTGGTCACGGTACCATAAAACCAAATTCAGTAACGAATCGTGCTCGGTCGCAAGTATAATCATGCATTGCACAATGCACTTCTCTCATACGCCAAACCCATTGGCAACTTTGTTTAAAATCCAAATTCAGTAGCTACTCGTGCTAGGTCTCAAACATTCTAGCATTGCGAAATGCACGTCTCTCGTACGGCAAACACATTGACAACTTTGTTGAAAAATCCAAGTCAGTATGTACCCGTGCGCGGTCTCAAGCAACCATGCATTGCGAGATGCATCCCTCTCATACGCCATACCCCTCTCATACGTCGTTTTAAACAACCTTGTTTAAAATCCAAATTCAGTTGCGATATACCCGTGCTCGGTCTCAAGAAATTATGCACTTGCGAGATGCACTTCTCTTACACGCCAAACACATTTGCAACGTTGTTTAAAATCCAAATTAAGTAGCGACGCGGGCTCGGTCGCAAGCAATCATGCAATTGCGAGAGAAATTTCTCTCATACGCCAAACCCATTGGCAACTGCTAAATCCATAGTAGGATTTGTGCTCGGTCGCAAGCAAGCAATTATGTATTGCGAGATGCCCTTTGGTCATACGGCAAACACAGTGGTTCTCTGTCGCCCAAGCAAATGCAATAAACTACAGAAACTCGGAATGAAGCAATCATGCAGTGCAACTCGCTCGCGTCCCATACCATACGAAAACACAATACCCAATAACCATTTTATTAAAGGCGAAAGTAATCACTATAGCCTAGCTATTTTTCTTTTCAACAATTTAATCTTGCGAAATACACGACCCGCTCGCGTAGAACATTAACAAAATGAACAATGCTAAAACCAGACGGGAATCATTCATGCGTCGCAATCTCAACTGAACTAAAATATGAACCGAAAGCAAACTTGTATGTATGTATGTATGTATAAACTTTATTTCAACACGGAAATCTCATCATTACAAACAATGCTCTTCCTGAGAGCCGTGCATATATACAATTATGTAAAATTATAAATCTACGTATAAATATAGGAAGAAAGGAGAGAAAGGGAAACAAAGGATAAACTAGATTTTACGATAATTTGAATGATTATATTACATATATACAATAAAAGCATTAGAGACTAAGAGAATCTCGTATACTATTAGAAACCTTCGTTTTGAAAGCAATGACATCCTCGGTTGATTTGATGTCATCACTTAAAGAGTTCCAGGTGACCGCTCCACTGTATGTTAAACTATTTTTCATGAAGTTTGTGCTAGGTTTTGGAAGAGAAAAATTCACCTGACTACCCCTTACATTGTAGTCATGCATTTGATTCCTTCTGGAAAATTGTGATGTTAGATACATAGGTGCATCATTATTTGCTATTTTATGCATTAATAATGCCTTATTCAAGTGCCACCTATGTTCCAACGTAAGCCAGCCTAATTTTTCTAAAATTTCCGCAGATCTAATATCATATCCAGAACGTGTGATAACCATCCCAGCACGATTTTGTAATTTCTGAAGTTTCTCTTTAAAACCTTTATTGCAGTTATCCCATACCGATGAACAATAGTCGAAATGCGGTTGTATAATTGCATAATATATTTTCTTTAATGCGTCTACTGGAACAAAATCACGAATTTGTCTCAAGACATTAAGGCCACTCTTTACCTTCTTTACAGTATTACTTATGTGCTCATGCCAGCTAAGATTTTCGTCAACAGTAACACCTAGGATTTTTTTGTGTTTAACTCTTTTCAGTTTAACATTTCCTATGAATAAAGAAGGTTCCCTACTTAAGTTTCTAATTCGTTGGACTGAGCCAATGATCATGTATTCGCTTTTGACAATATTGAGACTAAGATGATTGGCTCTCAGCCAAATGCACAAATTTTGTAGATCTTCATTAATTCTGTTTTCCATAAGGTTAAAATTTTCGTTTCCCATAGTGATGCTAGTGTCATCTGCATACATATTTGGTATTGTATGAGCGAGACAGCCCGGAAGATCATTAATAAAGATCAGAAACAGCAACGGGCCTAGTATCGATCCCTGTGGCACACCGCATTTTATTATACCCGGATTTGAAAGGACCCCATTTATAAAGCATTTCTGGCTTCTATTAGAAAGGTA